TCCTCCACATTTATGTTTGCAGCCCCTAATTTCTGCTCTGGTTCCCCTTGAGCTGAGTGGGACATGAGAGACTCCAAAGGCAGAAGGAGCAAGGGGACGGGAGGGATTGCCCAAATCCTGCTCCCCCCCTTCCCCAAATCTGTGTTTTGGTGCCACACATGGCAAATCAGGAGCCTCAGCTGTGCAGCTGGTTTCCACACTGAGTCAAGAACAAAGATGTCCAAACACAGCTGGCTCAGAGAGGGTGGGGACAGCCACGCTCTGTGCCCACAGAGGATGGGGACAGCCACGCTCTGTGCCTGCCATGAGCCCCATTGTCATCCCAGCCAAGATCCACATCATTTCCCCAGGGCTGCAGCTCTATTAAACACAAAGCTTCAAATTATTCCCTACTTGGATCAAAGATGTGTTTGTTCCAGTGGCACTTAAGTTTAAAAGGCAGTGCTGGGCATGAATGAAACCTTCCCAGAGGCAGCTGCTGAGGCTCAATTGGTTTGTCAGTGCTGTAGTTATGCTGTGGGCACCTCGTGGTTGCTTGCCCATATGTTCCCAAAGGATGTTGTGCAGTGGAACAGCTCAAGGAAGCCTTGCTCTATGGCTAAGGGGTTTTTGCTTTTGTGGTGTGAAGGCTTGTTCATGCTTCAGATGGTGAAAATGTTCAGGAATCTCACTTTGTGATTCCAGACTCAAAGCCAGAGCACTGGATCAAACTGGGTGGAAGTGTATGAAGGGACATGACAGCCTGTGTGCAGAACCATGGAATTGGGGGTTTGATTGTGGTCTGGGATCTGGGTGAGCAGCCTGCTCCCTAAATGCTGTCTCCTGGTCTGCATTGTACAGCAGATGCTCCCTGTGACAGACAGGAGGTGAAGGAAGCCCTCTGGAGTATGAAATTAAGCATTAAAAGAACATGAAGGCAGGAAGATGCAGCATGGGAAGTCAGGGAGAACTGAGAACACTGGCCATGCCAAAGGAACAAAAGAAACTCAATATCTTTTAGAAGTTTTAATATTTAATTGGTGAGCTCTGTGATACCAGGGCAGTGACAATGACAGGAGCCTGTGCAAGGGGTGTCTCATGGGGCCCCAAAATACAGACACAGGAGCTCCTTGTGGGCAGAACCATCAGTCCTGTGTGCACCACAGTGCTGAATTCCTGGTTTTGGGTGAAACCAGCATCATCACGGCCCAAAAGAGACTCGCAGTGCTTGGCAGCAGGTCTGGGAGTTGGGGATGTGTCACTCCTGGCTGGTACTGCCTGCACCTTGAGCCAGAGGAGCATTTCCATGAGCTCACTCACTCTTCTTGTGGAGCTAAGTTCCCTCCAGAGGGGCAGTTCAGCTCCATTTTCTTGCTCAAAAATTACATGACAATACTTGATTTATTGAGAAAATACTTTGTTCCATAGTGCAAGATGACAAGTTCCTTCTGCAGCAGGTGGAAGCCAGTTCTCAGAATCCTTCCCTCAGGGACACTTTCAGCTGATTTCAGAGAATTCCAGATCCAAATTCTCTGAAATTGGCTCTGGTTTCTGTGGAATCTGTTGAGTGGAGTTGCTTGGTTTGCTCCTCCTCATGCTCTGGGCAGGGTGTTACAGCTGCAGCTCTCCTGGATCCAAGGCCAAGTGTGTGTTTCTTGTCCAAAGGATCATCCAGCTGTGGGGTTTTTATCTCTAAGGCTCTCAGGGAGTGGGGGACAGCAATCTCCAGATCCTGCTGGTCCTGGTGACCTCTCAGAGCCCAACAAAGCTGAGGGCTCTCAGAGCTTTGCTCATGGCTTCCATCCCACCCCAGGCACTGGCAGGTTATTCTGAGTTTCCTTTCCTAACAAACACCATCTCCCCTCTCTCCTAGGCTGCCCTGTGCCCTGGATGAGATCCTGTCCTTGGGCTCTGCTCTGCTCTGCTCTGTGGGAGGCTCCTGCCTGACCTTGGAGCAGGTAAGGGAGGCAGGGGCACAGCAAAACACGGACAGAGTAGAAGATTGAGCAAAGGTGGGAGCCTCTTAAGTCTCACAGATGGCATCTCCAGGGAGCCTGTAGCCAAAACACTGGGGGATGCTGACCTTGGGGCTCCTTTTGTGCTGCCCATGCCAGAGATCCAGCAGGGAGTGGAAGGAGCCATCCCACAGCCAGGGAGCTTCCCCTTCCCTGCAAGGTACTTTGTTACCAGCACGCTTAGCAGCAGTGTTTTTTCCTGCCTCCAGGAGCCATTTCCCATCACATCCCAGCCAACCTCTGGAAACACCTGGGGTGCAGAAGTGGACGTGAGCGTTTGCCTGGTGCTGCTGAGGTAAGTCCTGCCCCCCAGGCTGAGTCACCTCAATTTCAGAGGCTTTAGACAGGGGAGCTGAGGTGTCAGTCACTAAAGATGGTTTGTATTGCAAAAGAAGTAGGTTACCATGTCCCATTGTGAACAATTACATGTAATTACAAGTCAGAGATTCACCACAAATACTATTTAATAACAAATTGCTGCCACGCTCCAGCCAGAGCGTGCTGGGGGAAGGTGAGCTCTGCTCTGTGGGACAGCAGGGGACAGGGTCTGGTGGCAGCCCCAAAACTGAGGTGAAATCTGCCTGCTGTGTCCTGTTCCCAGCAGTGCTGTGTGGCTTTGGGTTGGGTTGGATTGGTTCAGTTTAGTGACGAAACACCTCGTGTCACACCATGATTTTAGTTAAACTTTAAAAGGCTGCTCAGAAATGTCAAAAACCGCAATAAACTTCCTGAGGATGAAACCAAACAGGATTTGCGCCCTCCCCTCTCAGCCCCGGCTTTGGGGTTTGATCCCGGTGGAGCAGCACGGACCGAGCCCGGCGCGGGAACTCGC